TACATCCATCCGAGCCAAACTTCAGTTGTGTTCTGAACGTCAAATATATAATGGGGATTATTTTTTCAGTCAATACATGTTTACCCCATACCACTGAAGCTCCACTAATATCTTGAAAGGCTGAGAATTTCATACCAGAAAAAAGATATGAGACCTTTCCAATACATTGCGCTTCGTTATGTCCTGCTATATTTAAACATTGCGGCCGGAGTGTCTATAGAAATTTTCTGGTATTTCCTTATGTTTGCTAGTTGAAACAACTCTTTACTATCTTAAAAGATCGACCATAGATCCATCTGCAAGAAAATAAACGTCCTTTCCATTTTTGTTGCTCAATGCTCTTTTCTGATCAGACAGCACTTTTAGAACTTTTGCAGCGGTTTTATCATAGATCTTAAATTGCTCTTATGTCTAAATTCTGTTGAAGGTCGTAAGGAAAAAGGTCCGAAAATACTTTTTTTCCGCTCAAGTTCAGCTTTATTTTTCATCTATCTATCTAGCAAGCCTAAGGCATCGACACGAGGCCTTATTGGACCTTACGTGAACGAATACCCGTTTGAAAATCCAGCAAATTACGAAACACACTTTATAACCTGCAGAAACGTGTACAAACAGGACAAGCACTGCAACGCTGCGGAAATCTGACGTTCCCCCATAGGTCTCCATTAGAGACCTAAACAAAAGCAGCAAGTTTTCTGTTTCCATAGGTTTTCAAAGTTATTGTATACACTTGAATTCCTTGCTGCTCATTTTCCCCCAAATTCGAAGACAGTTTATTGACTAATCGCTTGGGAAGGAAGGGTTAGTGAATTATTGTTAACATCTACTTGAGCTTCGCAAATGCGCACTGGAGCCTTGGAGCAGACTTATGGGTATGTCAGTTATATGCTATATAGTTATCGGGGACGACTGTGGAGTGAGCACTGGGGAAGGCGAAAACGGAAGAAGACACTATGGTCCTTCGGATTGAATCTTTTACGATTTCCCCGTTGCTCTTCTCCCCAAAAACGATTTCCAGGCTATCTGGTGACCTGCCGAGACA